CAGGGAATTGGGACTGCTGCTGGCTGTAACCAGGGACACCAGTGCTCATCTCGGGACTCATTAAATGTTGCTGATCCTGCTCCCCCTAACAGCCCTTGCACCCTCCACCAGATTGAAATAGGAGAGGTTTTCTCCCCCCTCAAAACTCCAGCACATCCCTCAGCAGAGCTCCCATAACCAGGAATTTTGGTGACACCACGCTGCTTCATCATTTTGCCTCACTGAGGGCTCCTGGCAGCTGTGGCCATACAAAATAAAAGACATTTCTGGTGACAGATCCCATCTCCTTCCCCAGCTGAGCACACCAGGTTCCAGCCAACCCAGTCCAGCACCTACCAGGTGATAGGGACCCCCTTCTCCATCCAGTACGGCACCGGGAGCCTGACGGGGATCATCGGATCCGACCAAGTAGCCGTGAGTGACTTTTGGGTTGCCCTGCTCTGGACAATGTGCCTGGGACTTGCCCACGGGCTCGGCCCCACCACAGAACCCCCTCCCCCCTGCAGGTTGAAGGTCTGGCCGTGAGCAACCAGCAGTTTGCAGAGAGCATCAGCGAGCCAGGAAAAGCCTTCCTGGATGCTGAGTTCGATGGGATCCTGGGGCTGGCTTATCCCTCCCTGGCCGTGGATGGGGTCACCCCTGTCTTCGACAACATGATGGCCCAAAATTTGGTGGAGCTGCCCATGTTCTCCGTCTACATGAGCTCGTACGGACATGGCTTTGCTCTGGGATGTTGCTTGGAGTCTGGCATTGCTTTAGGGAGCAGGAGGGGCTGCTAAAATATAGATATTTTACTGAGATAATGAAGGGGGCTTTGGTACCAGATTGAGCATCGCAGAACTCTGGCTTTACAGCATGTGTGGGGAGAAAGTTGGGGTAAATTCATGCTAAATGGACAAAAATCCTTCATGTGTCCTCCTCCTCCCTGCAGGAACCCTGACTCCCCGCAGGGAGGAGAGGTGCTTTTTGGGGGTTTTGACACCTCCCGCTTCACGGGCACCCTGAACTGGGTGCCAGTCACCCAGCAGGGCTACTGGCAGATCCAGCTGGACAAGTGAGTGGTGCTGGGCAGGGAGGGAGGGCAGGGCAGGGCTGGCAGAGCACGGCAAATCCCTCCTGCTCCTTCTCCCTTCCTCCAGCATCCAGCTGGGTGGGACAGTGACCTTCTGTGCCAACGGCTGCCAGGCCATCGTGGACACCGGGACGTCGCTCATCACGGGCCCCACCAAGGAGATCAAAGAGCTGCAAAACCTCATTGGGGCTGTGTCTGTGGATGGAGAGGTGAGAGCCAGGGTGGGGACAGGAGGGGACAAAGCCTTGGGGACCCTTCCCTGCTGAAAGGGCCCCCCTGGGCAGCCCCTGAGCCCCCAGCTCTGTTCCAGTACACCGTGGAGTGCAGCAGCCTCAGCTCCATGCCTGACCTGACCATCACCATCAACGGGCTGCCCTACACGCTCAGTGCCCAGGCTTACACCCTCATGGTATGGCTGTGGCTCCCTCAACCCCAAATCCCAGCTGCTCCAGTGGCAAAGGTGGCCCAGTGTGTCCCCAAGGGTGACAAACCCCACCGGTTTCTGCCTCGCCACCATTCCTGGGTGTTTCCAGGTGCACAAGGCTCTCAGCTTCATCCCCAGCTTTCCACTTCTCCTCCCCCAGGAGTACGCTGATGGCATGGCCTTCTGCACCAGCGGCTTCCAGGGGAGCGACATCCCCCCTCCCACAGGACCCCTCTGGATTTTGGGAGATGTTTTCATCCGTCAGTTCTACTCCGTCTTCGACCGTGGCAATAACATGGTGGGATTGGCCCCTGCTGTCCCTTAGGGCTGTGACATCCCTGGGGCAGGAGAGGAACAGACCTCAGCAGGGCAGTGGATGTCACCCTGTCCTCCTCAGTGTCCCCAGGGGGTGAAGACACCCAGGGATGCAGTGAAGAGTCCAGCAGAGGTTCAGTCCATGCCAGGACACTGTGATATAAAAATGTCTCGAGCAGCTCTGTGATCTGCTCTGCACATTCTCTGTTTTTGAATCCTGAGCCAATAAAAACTTCAATAAACCCAAATTTCTCATGCTTCTGTCAGCAGCAGCCCAGCAGAAATCCTGCACGTCTCAAAGGGTTATACTGGGGGTTCAATCCTCCTTGCCCACATCCTGCTCTCCTCCCTGGGTGATCTGTGGCACTGCCGGAGCTGCACTCCCAGCATGGCTGGAGCTTCCCTGGGATTTCCACGGGGGCAGAGAGAAGGGGATGCTTTGCCCAGGTAGAGCAGAAATCCCTGGAGGTGGCTGTGGCAATCCCTGAGCATCCCAGGCGCAGGGCAGGAACCGAGGGAGCACTGGGAATGCACCTTTCCTCAGCTGGGGCTGGTAAACAAGAAAGGAGACCGGAAAGACCCTGGGGCTCTTTCTGTGCCACAGGACTCCCAGAGCCACCGGTGATTTCCAGTGAATTTTGCTTTGATTCCCTTGGGGAACTCACAACACAATGTGCATGGTGAGGCCTTGAAGCAAAAAGGGCAAAGCAGCTGCTGAGCCCCAGGCTGGGCTGGCTCAAAGTGTGGGGGCATGAGGGGCTGCAGAGGGGCCATGGGGCTCCCCGGGAGTCACCCTGGCACACGTGGCTTGCTGACAAGGCACGAGTGGCACTGGCTCATGAGTGATGCCCGCTGAGGCAGCGAGAAAGGGAAGCACAAGAAAGGTTATTTTTATCCAGGCCTTTGCTCTCTTTTCCCCACTGACCCTGAAGCGAGGCCAGCAGAGCCAAGGCCAGGCTGCTGGAGTGTCCATGTCCCAGTCCAGCTTGGTGGCTGCTGCAGGCCTCCCAGAGCAGAACAGAGCAGAGCAGCCTTCAGGGCTGGGCCTGGGAGCTCTGGAATATTCAGATCTGGTTGTAAACTTTGCGGCTGAGCCTTGTGGTTTGCAATAAAGGGAGATATCTGCCTTACCCAGAGGCACTGATTGTGCCGCTGACCAGCGTGGGCTCTGACGTTTCCTGTGTTGACTTCACCCCTGCTGCAGTCCCAGATAAGGTGCTGGGGCTGCTGGACAAAGGTCTCCTGTCCCTCTTCCACCTTAACCCTTAGAATGCCAAGGTGCTGCCAAGGAGCTGGGGAGGAGCATCCAGCTCCCCCAGCATGACAGGGGCCACCCAGTGTCCCCAGACAGCAGCTGGCATGAGAGCTGGCCTAGCCTGGGGTTGCCCAGGACTGCTCCGGTGCTGTGTTTTTGGGATCTCAGGGCATTCCGTGCCCTCTTGGCAGGTTTGGGGGGGGAAGAGCATCCTAATAAAGAGCGATCCTGCTGCCCCCCGAGGAGGCTGAGCACTTGGATGCCCTTTGCTTCCCTCCACTTCCCTCACTCCCACGGCCCTGTAGGGCACAGCCTGTCCTCTCCTTGTCCCCATAAGCCTTTCCCCCAGCTGTGTCAGCCCCAGCCTGGGTTTTATCACTTTCCTCACAGTCACAGGCCACAAAACCCACGCCTTTTCCTCAGAACTGCTGACGTGGGGGAGCAGCCAGGACGGGACTGAAGCTGTGGTCTCTGGAGCTGCTCAGCGACGCCTTGGCCATCACCTCCTCCCCACCACTGCTCCCACTGCCTTCATCCAGGCAGAATCTCAGCCCAGGGCGAGAGCAAACTTTGGGAAAATCCCTTTTCCGCGAAATCAAACAAAAGCCAGAGCTGAGGCTGATGTACCCTGGTGGGTACAGCCATCCTTGCTAAAAGCAGAAGTGGCCGTGGGCATCAGCTGCAGTTTGGGATCGACCACAAACCCCAGCCCCAGCAGCGTGGAGAGGCTTTGATCATCTGATAGGGTGAGCAATGCCCCGTCCCACCAGGGACATGTGAGAGGAACGAGGGCAGAAGTTGTTGCAGGGGAAGGTTGAACTAGAAATTCTCCGTGCAGGAGCAAAGGTGAAGCGGAATGGTGAAAAAGGGCTGAAAATGGGGATTAGGAGAGCTGCTCCAGGGAAATGTCAGCCTTTTACCCACCACTGGTGAGAACTGGCTCAGGTTCTCCTGCTTCAGCCCAGTTCCTCCCAGCGCCTGCCCTCTGGGGGGAAAAACAGATTTTTCTGGCCAGACAGGTCCCAAAATTACACCTGGAGAAGAGGGGGAGGAAGGTTTGTCCTGCTGAGTGCAACGATCCTCCCTGAGATCCCATCAGGGTCTGCAAGAGGAAAAAAAAATCTACAAAAATGCTGGAAGTGGAAAAACAAACACCAGTGGTCTTGGAAGGATCCCAAAACCTGGGCACGGGGACCACCATCGGCTGGGGGGCTGCTGGTTGAGGATGAGGGAGGGTTCACAGGTGGGGGACACCCCGCTCCCACTGCAAAGCCCAAATCCTACAGAGTGCTTGGCAAAGACACGGGACCTGCCCTTGCACGTCGGGAAGCAGAGCTCTGCCTTCGCGGCCGTGGCCAAGCAGGTTTTCCCACTCCAAAGAGCCCTGAGCACCCGCCTGGTGCTGGCATTGCTGAGATCCCCAAAATCACATTTACTGATTGAACACATCCTCCTGCAGATGTCACCAGCTCGGCTTCCTCTTTTTGGGGTGTTTCTGGGTGCCCGTGCTGTCTCTGGGTGCTGGGTGGGACCCCTGAGGGCTGGGGGCTGCAGGGATGACATGAGGGGCTGGAAATGCTCGTGATTCCCACCCTGCCCCTCTCCTGCCTGGAAAAGGACACGAAGCCACACAGAGCTCCTCACAGGGATCCCAGTCCCTCCTCACCCGTCCCAAAATCCATTTACCCCATCCCACGATATCAGAGCAAAGTCCGGCATGGCTCCAGGGATGCTGCCACAGCCCCGCCCGGCTTTTGTCCTCATCCCTGAACAATTCCCCAGCGGGGACGCAGATAAAGGGTCCCGGGGCGGTGGCAGAAAGGAACCGAGGGGATTCTGAGCCAGAGGAGAGGCCAAAAGTGAATCCCAAACTCCAGCAGCGGAGGAGAACTTTGTTCCCCTTCCCCATCGGACCCCGAGCCGCGGCCACTCGGCAGAGCCGGGAATCGAGGGCAAATCCATGGACATCCCAGCGCCCGGCCGCGGCTCCTCCGGGCCCGCCGGCATCTCGGCCCCTTTCTGCTGATGTCACGGAGCGGGGCCCCGCAGCCGCCTTCCCCGGCAGGGCAGGGACCGGCCGCCCCTTCCCGGATCCTCCTCTCGCCTCGCCCCCGCCCGGCCCGGTGCAGCGGAGCCGGGAGCCGCGGCTGCCCCGCCGGCCCGGCAGGTGAGCGCTCTGCAGGTGAGTCCCCGGGGGCAGCCCAGACCCGCGCAGCGGCAAAACTCCGTTTTGACTTGAAAAACATCTGGCCTTACCGAAGAGCTGGCGAAAGCTCCGGGGAGTTCGTGTGTGCTGAGACGCGAGGCTCTGCCTGTGCCCAGGATGCTGCCCGCGGCTGGGCACGGGTGGCAGAGGGGCGCAGGGGGGCTGGAGCCCACACTGAGAGCTCCCCGCTGGTATCCAAAGGGAAGGGCGCAGGGCTGGCCAGCGCATCAGGGAAAAATGCAGGGATGAGGCTGCCAGCGTTTCCATCCGTGCCTTGGCCGGCGGTGTCGGAAGCTGCCGCGGGGATGGGGCTTGCTGCGGCTGCTGGGGGATGCTGGTGCCACCTGAGGAGCGGGTTTCAGGGGTCCTGGCCAGGCTCAGAGCATGTGGGGACACTGGGACATAATGGGGACAAATTCTGAGGGGACATTTCGGGGTGCTCCTGGGCGGAGATGCTCCTTGGGCTGTGCTTGAGGCGCCAAGGAACTCCTTCTGGCTGGGGTCTGATTTAATAAATTTAATTTTCAGCAGGACCCCAGGCGTGTGTGCCAGGCCTCGGGGGAGGGACTGAGCTGGAGAGGGGGTGGGAGAAGCAGGGCTCCCAGCAGGTTTGAATGGTGATGAACCGGCGAGTCTGGGCGTGCTCCGGCTCCTCGGCAGCCGGCGGGGACGTGGGCCGGGCTTGGCACGGCGGCTTGTCTCTCCCCACCGTTCCTGGGACACGAGTGCCGGCATGGCACGGGCATGATGCTGGCACGGTGAGGGCACAGCGACATCCCGGGCTGGCAGGGTGGGAGCAGGGACAGGACCCCAGGGATCGCCAAGGTGCCACCCCCAGAGCCCCGCGAGCCCCTCTCGCCCCACAGGGCCTGCCCATGGATGCCAGCAAGAAGGTGGATCTGAAGATCATCATCATCGGAGCTCTGGGGTAAGGAGCTGGCGGGCAGGGAAGCCCCCCGCGTGTGGTGGGTGCCCCCTGCCCACCCCAGAGCCTCACCAGTGCCCCTTTCCTCATCACCAGCGTGGGCAAGACCTCCCTGCTGCACCAGTACGTGCACAAGACATTCTACGAGGATTACCGCACCACGCTGGGCGCCAGCATCCTCACCAAGGTCCTCGCCGTGGACAGCACCCCCCTGAAGCTGCAGGTGAGCGGCTGAGCTGGCACTGCCCCGGTGCCCACCCTGACCCCAGCTCTGTGTGTCCCACCCTGGCCTGCTGTGCCCAAATGGCACCAGGGTCACGAGGCGCACAGCCCGACTTTCAGAGCCGACTTTCAGAGACAAATTTTCAGAACTGATTTTCAGAGCCTGATTTTCAAAGCCTGATTTTCAGACTCAAATTTTTAAAGGTGATTTTCAGAGCCTGATTTTCAGAGCCCGATTTTCAAAGCCTGATTTTCAGAGCCGATTTTCAGAGCCTGATTTTCAGAGCTGATTTTCAGAGCCTGATTTTCAAAGCCTGATTTTCAGACTCAAATTTTTAAAGGTGATTTTCAGAGCCTGATTTTCAGACTCAAATTTTTAAAGGTGATTTTCAGAGCCTGATTTTCAAAGCCTGATTTTCAAAGCCTGATTTTCAGAGCCGATTTTCAGAGCCTGATTTTCAGAGCCTGATTTTCAAAGCCTGATTTTCAGAGCTGATTTTCAGAGCCTGATTTTCAGAGCCCATTTTCAGAGCTGATTTTCAGAGCTTGATTTCTAGAGTCTGATTTTCAGAGCCCAGATTTCAGAGCTGATATTCAGAGCAGATTTTCAGAACCGATTTTCAGAGCTGATTTTCAGACCTGATTTTCAGACCTGATTTTTAGAGCCTGATTTTCAACATCCATGAACTGCACTGGAATCCCACAGGATCTCTGAGGACTCAGCTCCCCTTGAAGCTGCTCCTCTGGGCTGCAGCACCCACCCTGCTCCTGCCTTGTGCCCTTCTCTGCCCTAGATCTGGGACACAGGGGGACAGGAGCGATTCCGGTCCATGGTGTCGACCTTCTACAAAGGCTCCGACGGCTGCATGCTGGCCTTCGACGTGACAGACAGGGAGTCCTTTGAGGCCCTGGACAACTGGAGAGATGATTTCCTGGAGAAGGTCATTCCCAGGGAACACGATTTCCCCATGGTGGTGCTGGGGAACAAGATAGACCTCAGTGACCGGCAGGTAAGGGAGGAGGAGGGAGAGGAGGATGAGCAGTGGTGGAGTGTCAGAATCTGAGGTATTGATGACTCTGAGATTGTAAAAGTCTCTGTCTGTCAGCCCCCTGCCAAAGCAGAAGCCATCATTGGTCTGTGCTGGTTTCCAGGTTGTTTATTCTGTTATCTCTCACATGTTCTGCTGCCCTGCCCAGCTCTGTCCTGCAGGGCAGCGTGTGGGGCTCTGCCCTCAGTGGGATGTGACAAACATTAAACACCAGAAACTCCCTGGGCTGCATTTACAAGAACGTGCCAATATCTGTCACCTACGTTGGACAGTGTGTCCCCAGCCTGAACCAACAGAAAAATGCCAACACCACAGTGAGACATGGAGGGCATGAAGAAGGAGAAAAAGGACAAGGCACACCCAATTTCCTCCATCTTGTCCCCTTTGGACCCCTAATCTAGAATCCTAAAATTTTACTTTTGCACCCATGCCACACTTAATTATGACTTATATCAAACACTCAGAGATGGTAATTCACCCTGTAAGATTGAAAACTCTTCTCCATGGACAGAGATCACAGCCAGTGTCTCTGGGCGCTCTGTCCAGGGGGGTTCCTGACCCCTGCCAGGGTCCAAGGCAGCCAGAGGGAAGCCCTGCATTCCCACAGTGAAGTCACCACCCCTGGAGGGATTTAAAACTTGTACAGATGTGGCACTTGGGGACATGGTTTAGTGCTGGGTTAATGATTGGACTTGATGATCCTAAGGGTCTTTTCTAACCCAAACAATTCCATGATTGGGATGCTGTGGGGTCCTAATGGCTTTGTGGGCTGATCCTTCACCTCAGAACCAGCCTTTTTCTTATCCTCACATAAACCAGAGCTCCAGGCAAGGAGTTTATGGAGCACTCCTCCAGCACTCTGGGAGGGGATGAGAACATCCTCCTGCTGCTCTCTGGGGCACAGACTGTCCCCACCAGAGGCAGCAGGAATGACAACCTCGGGCACTGCCAGCACCCCTCACCCCCTGGATGGGTGAGGAGGGTCCCCTGTCCCATCCCTGAGCTGTGGCTCCACCCTGCTGTCCCTCAGGTGCCCAAGGAAACAGCCTCAGCCTGGTGCAAGGAGAAGGACATTCCGTATTTCGAGGTCAGTGCCAAGAACAACATCAACGTGGCCGAGGCTTTCGAGACCCTCGCGAAGCAGGCGCTGAGCACGGTGAGCACCCTCCAGCTCCGAGCTGTGCTGGGGGAGGATTTGGGGGAAAAACCGGGCTCAGCCAGGGCTGCTCTGACAGATCCTCCCGAGCAGAGCAGCTCCTGCTGCCACAGAGAGCCCCGGGGATGAGAAACGCGGAAATGTTTGATCCCAAACCAGCAGGAGCAGGAATTGCCACAGTGATGGGAACGCGGCGTGTGGCACCCACAGCGCGGCAGCACTGTCCTCTAGCGGCCGTGCCACGGGGACAGCGGTGTCCCCAAGCCCTGTGCCAGGTGTCCCCAAGCCCTGTGCCAGGTGGCTTTTGCCAGGGTTTTGCTGTTAGTCACAAGCCAGGGCTGATCCATGGGACATCGGTGTCCCCAAGCCCTTTGCCAGGTGGCTTTTGCCCAAATTTTGCCATTAGTCACAAGCCAGGGCTGATCCTTGGGGACATCAGTGTCCCCAAGCCCTGTGCCAGGTGTCCCCAAGCCCTGTGCCAGGTGGCTTTTGCCAGGGTTTTGCCATTAGTCACAAGTCAGGGCTGATCCCTGGGGCCATCGGTGTCCCCAAGCCCTGTGCCAGGTGGCTTTTGCCCAGATTTTGCTGTTAGTCACAAGCCAGGGCTGATCCATGGGACATCGGTGTCCCCAAGCCCTGTGCCAGGTGGCTTTTGCCAGGGTTTTGCCATTAGTCACAAGCCAGGGCTGATCCCTGGGGCCATCGGTGTCCCAAGCCCTTTGCCAGGTGGCTTTTGCCCAGATTTTGCCATTAGTCACAAGCCAGGGCTGATCCCTGGGGACATCAGTGTCCCCGAGCCCTGCACTTAGTGGCTTCTGCCTGGATTTTGCCATTAGTCACAAGTCAGGGCTGATCCATGGGGACAGCGGTGTCCCCAAGCCCTGTGCCAGGTGTCCCCAAGCCCTGTGCCAGGTGGCTTTTGCCAGGGTTTTGCCATTAGTCACAAGTCAGGGCTGATCCATGGGGACACTGGTGTCCCCAAGCCCTGTGCCAGGTGGCTTTTGCCCAGATTTTGCTGTTAGCCACCAGCCAGGGCTGATCCATGGGACATTGGTGTCCCAAGCCCTGTGCTACATGGGTTTTGCCCAGATTTTGGCGTTAGTCACAAATCAGGGCTGATCCATGGGGACACTGGTGTCCCCAAGCCCTGTGCCAGGTGTCCCAAGCCCTGTACCAGCTGTCCCAAGCCCTGTACCAGCTGTCCCAAGCCCTGTACCAGGTGTCCCAAGCCCTGTGCCAGGTGTCCCAAGCCCTGTACCAGGTGTCCCAATCCCTATGCCAGGTGTCCCAAGCCCTGTGCCAGGTGTCCCAAGACCTGTACCAGGTGTCCCAAGCCCTGTACCAGGTGTCCCAAGCCCTGTGCCAGGTGTCCCAAGACCTGTACCAGGTGTCCCAAGCCCTGTGCCAGGTGTCCCAAGCCCTGTGCCAGGTGTCCCAAGACCTGTACCAGCTGTCCCAAGCCCTGTACCAGGTGTCCCAAGCCCTGTGCCAGCCGGCTTTTGCCCGGGTTTTGCCAGGGCTGATCCGCTCAAGCTGCCTGGGGGCTGCGGTCACTCATCCTTTCCCTTCTCCGGTTCTTTTCCAGTACAAAGGGATTTTTGAGAGTTATTTAACCGACTCCATCAAGCTCACTCCCAACGACAAGCCCAAGCAGAGCTGCTGCTGACCCCGGCGCCACTGGAGCCCGCCATGCCCACGGGGACTGGCCATGCCAGGGCACAGGACGGGCACCGCTGGGCACACCAGGGCCGGCTGCCTGCTCATCCAAGGATTTGCTGCTTCCCAGGGCTCTGGAGCTGCTCTCCCCATCGCCTCAGTGGCACGGTGGCACCCGAGCGGGCGATGTCCCCGCGGTGACGGTGCCAGGGGCGCGGGCAGTGCCCCCGACGCCTCTGCAGAGACCACGGCCTTGGCACCACGGGTCACCCTTCCCAGAGCACAGCCTGGTGGCCCCACGGCTCAGGGTGACACGGGCTGGCCTGGGGGGACAACTGGGGCTGGTGGCCTCGGCACAGGGACCAGGCAACTATTCCGTGCCTCAGTTTCCCCTCCTCTCATATCCCCCATCAAACACCTTCCCCCTCCCGCCTCACTGGGGAGGATTCTCAAAAAAGCTGTTTGTCAGGGGTATTCTATTTTTTTTTTTAAAGGAAATTAAATATTTCATTTTTATTTATATTTATGTGTTGCAAAATGCTCCCCAGGTCCCGAAGCAGGAAGGTGGGGTGGGGGCCCCAGACTTTCCTCCCTGAGCCTGTTCAGCTTCTCAGGGCTGGGGGATGCATTTTGGGTCTGGCTTTTTTTTATTGTTATTATTACTTTTTTTATTTTCCAGTGCAAATTTTGTGCCGGGGAGAGAGGAGGTGTGCAGTGGCTGTGCAGAGGTGGCGTGGGTCAGTCCTTCTGTCAGCAGAGGGAGCTGAGGGCAGAGGTTTTTGAGTTTTATTTTTTTTTTTTTCTCTCCAGGCCATTTCATGTCTGTCTTGCCCTCAGTGTCCTCTCTTCCTCCTTGATTTTTTCCCCAGGTTTTGCATCATCTCCGAGCTTTGTTTTGGTGTCTTTTGCCCCTTTCCACTGCACCTCATTTGCTCCCAGACTATTTTTTTGTGTTCACTGCATGTCCAAATCTCCTGGATTTTTTTTCTGATTGACATTTCACTTGATCATACCTCATTTTCATAGTGTTACAGATCCATTCTTTTCACAAAATTCCAATGGGGATCAAAGGGGCAAGCTTTGGTCCATAGCCCTGCCCTCGCTGGCATGCCATGCCTTTTGCTGGCTTTGGTTTGGGCCGAGGTTATTGAAATTTTTTCTTCTTGCTTTGAAGGCCATTTCACATCTGTCTTGCCCTCAGTGTCCTCTCTTCCTCCTTGATTTTTCCCCAGGTTTTGCAGCAACTCTGAGCTTTGTTTTGGCATCTTTTGCCCCTTCCCACTACACCTCATTTGCTCCCAGACCATGTTCTTATGCTCACTGCATGTCTCAATTTCCCTGGTTTTGGGGTTTTTTTTTCCTTTCAATGGTATTTCATTTGATCATATCTCATTTCCAGAGTCTTTGGCACTCAGATTCCCAGGGAGGTCAGCAGGGACCCCTCCTGCCATCCCTCCAGCCCCCTCCAGCCCCCCGCACCCACTGCAGCGGTGCCGCAGCTTCCCGCAGGCTGCCCTGGCATCACCCGGGGCTGCCCGTGGGGACAGCACCCATGGGTGGCACTGCCAGGGGCTGGGGCTGGCAGGTGAGCTCAGGAAGGGTGAAAGCTGAGCGAGGGCTGGGCACGGGGGGCGTGGGGGCTGCAGAGCTGGAGCCGGAGAGAACGGAGAGTTCCCACCCTCGTCCTTACGCAACGCTCCGCCTGTTTATCTGGGCACTGGGCCGGGGAGAGGATTTGTCCCTTCCTATGGGGAGGAGAGGGGCATTAACTATTTCCTGCCCACGTTCTGGACGCCCTCTCCCCACCCTGTCCCTGCCCGGAGCCGCCCAGCATCTCCCGGTTGGTCCTGGCACCCGCCGGGGCTGTTGGGACGGCTCTGCCGGGCACTGGCCGTGCCAGCAGCGATGTTGTTTCTCATCACACCCTTCTCCCAGCAGCTCCCAGCGCTGGCAAACAGGAACCTGATCTGTTTTAGCCCAGCACGCAGCAGTTCGGACCGCCCGGGCTGAGCAGGTCACACAAATGCACCCAGGGGAGGGGATCCTCCCTGAGCCGGGGCTGGCAGCCCTGGTACAGCCCGGGGCTGCTGTGGGTGCTGCAGCCCGTGAGGGGAGGAGGTGGTGCCGGGTGGGAGCTGCAGGCTTGGCTCAGGGTCCGGCTGGATGCTCTGGACAGGGCTGGGGTCACACCTGGAGCTGCAGGCACAGCTCTCTGCAGAGCCCCCGGGCAGGCTCAGACTTTGTGCATCATTCCAGACGCGGGACTTGGGACTGTGAAGGATGCTGCAGCCTCGGGAGCTGGCAGGATCTCCGGTGGCATCACCACCGTGTAGAAATCCAACACAGCTCGCAGGGGTGCAGCGCCGTGCTGGAGCCAGCTACAGCCCTCCAGCTTTTCCTCTCCCTCCATCCCTGCTGGCCAGGCAGCCCTGGGACAGCCAGGAGAGCGGGCAGGGCGGCACGGTGCCAGGCAGGATGCTGGCAGGAGCAGCCCGAGGTGCTAAACTGGTAACACTATCCCGCGGCCGAAACCCGATAATGGACAGGGGGAGATTTGCAACACGTGGGATTAACAAGGTCAGCTCAAGATTTTCTCAGGGTGAAAATCAAAGGGGAAAAATATTTGCCTTGTGTGACTCAGTGAGTTCCTGACAAGCCACCTGAGTTCCTGAGCTCACCCCGGCGGAGAGCCCGGCCTGTGGCCACTGCTGAGGAGCCAGACTGAGCCCTCCTGGCCACAGTTTAATATCCAGACACTTCCCAGCTGCTCTGCTGTCCCTACAGGCTTTCATTCCCAGCAAAAATCAGTAAAATCCCACCCTGATGCTGGTCACCAAACACCAAGCCTCATGCAGAAGATCTGCCCTCAGTATTTGAGGAATTAGCACCCCACACTCACCCTAAATCCCCGACTCCCAGTTTGCTTCATTGTTCTGAGGTTCAACGACCCCTGAGAGCTCTTCACCAGCCCTCACCCCCCCTGCTCTGACAGCCCAGCCTGATGGAGCCTGCCCTGCTGAGCCCGGCTGGTTCCAGGGGGGTGGGAGAGGGTGGGTTTGCATCACAAATCCCCCTGCAGGGCTGGCAGAGAGCGGCTCCTCCGCCGCTCCTTCCCGAGACACATCCCAGGCACAGGCAGCAGTGCCCAAGAATGACAGAATCGATCATTCAGGTTGGAAAAGCCCTCTGAGATCATCAAGCCCACCATGAAATGATGTGCCTGAATGTCCACCTACCCCAGCCTGCGGCACCTGGAGATGGGTGGGATTAAAATCTTTTACTGAAATGTGAGGATTTAAATAAAGGCACTGGAAAATACCTTCAAAAGCTGCAAAAAGAATCAAAAACCACCAAGTTTTCCTGCTTGGAAGCAGAAGCCCCATTAACCTGGAGCTGGGACTGAGGGTAACGCAGTGGCTTCAGCCACTTCAAAGCTGACCTGATAAACGCCAGCGGTTCAAAGTTCCAGGTAAACTTTCAAAGGCGTCAGACGTGAAAAACAAAGCCAGGGCATCACGCAAACCTTATCTCTGTCCCGTGGTGCCACCGGCCGCAGGGCAGTAAACACCTCCGGAGGTGTCAGCACGGCCCCTGGGTCACCGGGGCCACTCCTGGTCGCTGTCACCCGGCAGCGACCGGCTCGGGGTGGTGGCCTGGCCTGTGGCACACTGCGATTTCTTTCCAAGAAAGCTCCTGGTGCTGCGAATTACCTGAAGGATTGCTGTGCCTTTCCTCAGTCGCCCCCGGAGTGAGGGGGTGGCACTGATGGGGTTGGTGACTGTTCCCCCAAGGTGTGACTGTCCCCCCAAGGTGTGACTGTCCCCACAAGGGACACACAATCAGCCCAGGTTTGAGGCACAGCTGTCCCCTCATCCTCAGCCACAGTAAATGTTGGTGCTCCTCCTTCCCCCCAGCCCACGGGAGCTGCTGTCCCGTGTCCCACCCCAGAGCACTCCCGCGTGTGGGGCTGTGTGGGGTCACAGGCTGTGCCTGGCCCCGGGGCTGGGACAGCGGGCTCTGGGGACACGGAGGGCTCCGAGCCAGCACGGAGGAGGACTAGGGGCTGTGGCAGTCCGGCAGCCAGCGCTGGGACATGCTGAAGTCAGCAGCCAGCCCGAGCCCCAGGTGGCCTTCTGCAGCAGCAGCAGGATCAGCATCAGGATCAGCATCAGGATCGGGATCAGCATCAGGATCGGGATCAGGATCAGCATCAGGATCTGGATCAGGATTAGGATCAGGATTAGGATCAGGATCAGGATCGGGATCAGGATCAGGATCAGGATCAGGATCACGATCAGGATCAGGATCAGCATCAATATCAGGATCAGGATCTGGATCTGGATCTGGACCAGGATCGGGATTGGGATCAGGATCAGGATCAGGATTGAGATCGGGATTGGGATCAGGATCTGGATCTGGATCAGGATCAGGATCAGCATCAGGATCAGGATCAGGATCAGGATCAGGATTGGGATCAGGATCAGGATTGGGATCAGGATTAGCATCAGGATCAGCATCAGGATCTGGATCAGGATTAGGATAGGATCAGGATCAGGATCAGGATCAGGATCGGGATTGGGATCGGGATCGGGATCGGGTTCAGGATCAGGATCAGGATCAGGATCAGGATCGGGATCGGGATCAGGATCAGGATCTGGCCCTGCCAGCCTGGCATGGGGCTGCCCCACTGTCCCACTGCGTTCCTCTGGGTTTTGCAAAGCCCCACAGAGGTGCTGAGGGCTGTGGGGACAGGATCCCACCATGGGACAGAGCCCGGAGCAGGAGCAGCTCCAAAAGCAACCGGAGAAACTGTGAGGGGCTGGTTTGATCAGGATTTGATCCTGACTGGTTTGATCAGGTGGGATCCCGACTGGTTTGATCAGTTTGGGACCCTGACTGCTTTGATCAGTTTGGGA